AATGTTAAGGTCAACATTGAGATCAACATTGAGGTGAACATTAACGTGAACATTGATGTGAACATTAAAGTCAATGTTCACCTCAACATTGACGTAAACATTAAATGTTTCTCGCAGAAATTAGTGAAGTTGTCTAGACTCTTGGTGGGGTTTGTAAATCTCAGGAAGATACATATCTCACGAGAGATGTCTATAATTCCTAAAAAAATTATAAATTTAACAGATAAATTTATTTGCTTTACAAATAAGATTATAATATTTTTTATTAATATATACACAATTTGGTAAATTTTTAAAATTTAACCTTTATTCAAAATCTAAAATTTTATTTATTTTTAAAAATTAAACTTTTATTTAAAATTTTAGTTTATAGCTATATAAATTTTAATATATAATAATCAAAACTTGTTTTTAAAATCCCAAATCTATTAAAAAAATAAACATAAATAAGGATTAAATAAAGATCAAATTTATTAAATTAATTAAAATAACTTCAGAAGCTGCATTTTATTATAGTGTAATGGTTTGCCAACTAAAAAGTATTATATAAAATTGCCAGGTCTAGTTTATCATTTAGAATTCTTTTTAATAGCATTTCTTTGAGAAAAAAATTAACATTTAATAGTAATATAGAGTCATGTCCCCACCTTAATATTAAAAAAATTCGATAGTACGATCCCGTTTATTGCTAAAATTAGTAATCCCTTAATTTTCATAAAATACATACACTTAAATTGTCCAGGGTACAAACCTGCAATAACCCATATAAATTATATAACAATTAAATAACAATTATAATTTAAGTAATAAATTTTAATTTATAATTTTTGTGTTCCCACACAAACCGCTCTTCTATGTTTACAAAGAGTTCTGTGATTAGAATTCAGAATAATTAATTCAATTTTGATGACCGTAAATAATGGTTCAGTGATTACTTGATAGAAACAAGATTTCGCGATTACATGGTGGTATAACGATAAGGATTTGAATTAGATTATTTACCAAGAATTTACATAGTTACACAATCTATATTGTTGCGCGTACGTTAATAACAAATTAGATTAATGATCGATTTATAATTAAGTTTAATTAATTGATTTCAATATATTACGTAAAAATAATATTTTATCAGTTATTATAAATGGCATGCCAGGCATGTCAGTCACCCTAGTCGGACGACATTCACATATACAAAAAAATAAAAAATAAAACCAGTAAAAACATTCCTCGTCGGAAATAACACAATGTAGTAAAATGCTGCAAGATAATAGAGGAAATAAAACCCGTAAAAATAAGATATAAAAACAAATGTCGAGTCAGCTTGACCCAACAACTTGAATCCAAATCACGGATTACAGTATGCAATTATTAACATAATTATAACAACTCTTCTCCTAAATGCTCTTGGTTCTACAGTAACTGCAAATTATAATTTGGAACGGCTTCATTCTTTATTAATAGATTTTTATTGGGGTAATTCTATTTTGACTTGGGTTGAAATAACCTATCATACGATTCACAGTTCAAATTTGACCAAGTTAAATAACCCATCATATGACTGAAATTACTGGTATGTCGTACGTTAAGTTAGATAACGATAAAACGAAATAACCTTGAATAATAGAATTAATCATCGATTGAACAGGTTGAGTACAATTTGGTATATTTTGTTAACGTTATCCTATCGCTACTTACTACTACGTATATATATATATATATAACAATATAAAAGATATTAAATCTAGTGCTAGCGCTCGCATTAAAACTGTATATGTTGTACGTCAAATTAAAATTTGCGTCAGATCAAAATTTAAATAGAGTTTCATTAGAGTTAGTATGAAAACTTAGGATAAGTATTAGCGAGATTAAAAATTATTTTAATCTGACGTAGATATTAATTTGGCACGTAACAAATATGTTGATATGGCGAGTTTACATTTCCTGATTAGAATATTCGGTTAACGTTAATATCTGATGTTTTGCTTTTCGATAAACCTCAATTTACAAATTATATGGCAGGTTATTTTAATCCGAGTCCAATAGAATTTCGCTTTATTATAATATATTTTTTATAATTATGCGATCGGAGATTTATTTTAATTGCTATTGTTATAGTATTAAATAATAATAATGTTATGCTATAAAAAAGTTCTATATGATCTCTTTTTATTTTGAACTTTCTATTCAATTATAATTTCAAATGATATAAAATTAGTTAAATTCTAGTAATTCCAAAAATAATAGTAAATAAACGCAGAATCGCCACAAAAAACTTTCTTTTTTTAAAAAAGTCATCAACCTTGATCGCATCTGATACGCGAATTGGTCGGAATTGATAAATTTTGCCCAAAATCACTCTAAATTTTACTAATAACGATTAAGATGACAATTTGGTTATATAGTTGGCTTATATTATTGCTAGTTCCGATGAATTCTAGTTGATCTACTGAATTTTTGTTACGCCATTGCAAAAATATTATTCTTGATGGATCGGTAGTACCGGAGTTAAAAAAATTTTTGAGTACAGTACTATTCCTGAAAGAGTTCTAAAAACTACTAACTTTTTTTATATTATTCACTATAGTATATAATATAGTATTTTAGAGACAATATTTTTTGTGTAGACACAGATTAAAAGAATTCTATAACAGAATGTTTCACCGAGTAACTAATATTTATCGTTATCGTTTTACATCTTATAACGTATTCCGTTATTACTCTTATAATTCTTCAACAAGTTCAAACCAAAAATTTAACAATCATAATGTAGCATATGATTTTCGAAGCGATACGGGTCGGTGAAATTTTCAAAAAAAAAAAAGTTGTTTTTTGACGTTTTTATAAATTTTCTAAAAATAAATTTTACATAAAGTGACAACACCAACACAACAAATGTTTGAAGCAATGATAAAAGCTTCAAAAGGTGATGATGTTTATGGCGTATGTGATCATAAATTATTGTGATTACACTATTATACAACTATAACGAGTAATGAAGATTATATTATGATATTATTTTATTTTTTTTTTTAGGAAGACGAATCAACAAATGATTTAGAATCTTATGTGGCAAAATTAACAGGGCATGAAGCTGCTTTATTTACGATATCCGGAACGATGGTATCAACACGTCCCCCTTTAATAATCTAATATATTCCACGGCCCCTAATACTCGCCCGTGAACATTTCTGATGATATTTTTATGATATAATACCGTGAAAATATAAAAAAATTCCACGGTATGACATCCTCAGTAAAAATTTTATTCAGAAATATTACGGGCATAAGAACCGTGAAATATATCAGATATTTCATATGCTGTGAACATGTATTACCACAGCTTTGCCGTGCTAATCCATGATATTCACAACAGCCCATGAAATATCTATTACATACAACATTCATTTCTAATCTAAATGATCTCTCTATAACCAAATAAACATGAAAAAATATATTATATCTTAATTAACCATAATAAATATACGAGTAAGGCAAATCAATTAGCATTCCTTTCACATCTTTCATATCCACCATATTCGATTATATGTGATCATCGTTCTCACTCTTACGTCTACGAAAATGGTGGCATCTCATTCCACTCTCGCGCTTCGGTTTACCCTTTAATCCCAATTAACAAAATACACATAACTCTCTCTGAAATTCAATCCTCCATTATCCCAGATACGGACATCCATTACGCTCCAACACGTGTAATTTCTTTAGAAAATACTTTGGATGGTTTGATCTTTCCATTTGATGAACTTTGTAGGATCTCGGAATTTGCAAGAAATAAAGGGCTAAAAATACATTTAGATGGTGCGCGATTATGGAATGCAAGTGCTGAGACGGGAATTGAAATGAAACAATATGGGGAATTATTCGATTCTATGAGTTTGTGTTTTTCAAAAGGTTTAGGCGCACCAATTGGGAGTATTATCGTTGGTAACATGGAATTTGTGAAGAGGGCTAGGCATTTGAGAAAACTGTTTGGTGGTGGGTTAGTATTATATATTAACGTGTGCACTTATAAATAATGCTGTATATTAACGTATATACACATAAATAATCATAGGGTCTTTGCTAACAAAATCTATAACAAAAATCACTTTCCGTTCGAAAAAACTTAGGACAGAGTACCGGTTCTTATTTATATGTAATCGTCTTTTACCTTTATTGATATAATAGTTAATTAAATAGGTCTATTGTGTCAATAAAGGTAAAAGATGGCTTACATATAAATAAGAACTGATACCTATCGGAAATCTCGAAGGGTGATTTCGTTAGCAAAGATCCCATATATTTATATCTTTATATTTATATTTATATATATTTGATATTTCTGAACATTTCCCTTGGAAAAAGGTGGCATCAATCAGGTCTACTAGCCGCGGCAGCGAAACTCGCGCTCCTAACAAATTATCCAAACAGATTAAAGAAAATGCATATTTTAGCACGTGAACTCGCATCAGGACTTTCGAAACATGGTATCCGGATTGTGAATCCCGTTCATACTAATATGGTATTTATTGATACGAGTGCGACGAAAATTAGTAGTATTGATACCTTAGCGGAAAAGTTGAGTGAACATGGGATTAAAATTTTTGGAGATGCATCTACAATGACAAGGTTAGTAGTGCATTATCAAATTGAGAAAAAGGCAATTGAAAAACTCGTTAATGTTGTTAGGGAAATTTGTTAGAAAATTTGTTAAAAAGAGATTACTTTATTCTTTATTAATGATGGACATTTTTATCGCGTAATTTAAAAAGAATCCGATAATTTGGTTAAAAAAATGTTACATAATTACATTATTTCTTAAACACCCAGTTCCAATTAATAAAACCATATACAATTAAGAAATAAGCCACATGAATATAAAACAATGTATACTATTTATAACGAATGAAAATAAAAACCATACAATTGAATGTGTAACTAAAATTAATGAAACATACGGCCACATTATGCCGCATTATGATATTGAAAAAATAGAACCTAAATTATTCGACTTGAATAGTCACCTGTAAGATGCCATAATTATTTTTCAACATACGTCTAGCCTTCGCTAATATTTCAGTGGGCTTCAAAGGTTCTTGTTGAATTTCTGGTTCATATGGGTGAAGCTGAAGATGGGCAGTGAGTGCCGTCTGTAATAAACAAATAATCCATTTAAATATATTTATACAATAAATTGATACAAGTAAGTGAAATAAGATTTACCCTTCCAACAGTTAATTCCCATACTATAATACAGAAATAAGTTAGATATCATATATATAAAAAACGATATGTGTATAAAACACCAAAAATGATATGACATACTGTGTAAATCATGAACACTCTTTACACCAGGAATTTCCTCTAAATCAGCCCTTACAGCATGAGCATCGATGTGCGGCGGAGTAGCTATAAACAATAATAAAATTGAATATTTCATTTACATGTATACAAAATAAATATGAAGGAGACAAATACAAACCTTCCATTAAAACTCTTACGCTACTTCGCACTATTCCAACAGTTGAAAGCATAACAAAAGTAGAAAAGATAAATGTACACAATGGATCAACCCATGATTGACTTGGATCAAGCGTAATTACTATCGATGAAATTAGAACGCCTAACGATGAGAGAAGATCCCCCAAAACATGAAGTATAGCTGCTCTAACATTGACATTATCACCACAATGATGGTGACCATGATTTTTGTCGTGGCCATGGCTGTGCCCATGATTGTGTCCTAAAACGATAAGTAAGCTAAAAAAAAAAAAAAAAGACTTATATAAACATTGAAATTGACATAAATGCTCAAGATATGAAGACTAAAACCTACACAATATTGACCATTACACCTATAGAGGCAATAACACACATTGTCAACCCATCCACACTCTTTGGGTGTTGTATCCGATCATAGGCTTCAATACATAAGTATCCGGTAAGTAACCATATAAGGAGAATTGAAGCAAGAGCGCCCAAAATTTCGGCACGATGGTAACCATACGAAAGCGCTATGGAAGGTTAAAAGATAAGACAAATCAGAATAACATAGTCAATATGAGCAAGAATGAAAAAAAATTGTTAATCCGGATCAAGATTATAACCATTAAGTAATTATTACTATTATTTTGGCATGCAATTATTACTTGAACTTCTAATAAAAGTTGTATAGACGTTTAGAATCGCTAAAATTAGATCTGTGGACCTTAAGTATAAATAAAAAGTCATCGAAATCATACGAAATTTCTTTGCAGATCTGCATAGAAATGTCTGATGATTTCGGAAACATTCTACTTATATCTCGTGATTTACTGGACCAATTCTATCGATTTTACCATCAATAAAACCGTAATAATTGTCTCTCCAACTTTTATTAGAAATCCAAGTAACGATTACAAGGTGAAAAAAAGATATATTACATATTATAATGTAATCCAAAACAGTGACCTTGTCCAAAATTTATTATTGTCCTTATCCGGATATAACAATAATAAAGACGAATATTTTACTACTTACATCTAGTAGCGGGCCTCTGGGCAAGATATATGGATAAAAGTGATATAGCAAAACTTATTATATCTGATATCACAAGCGTGTTTTAGTTAGGATAAAGCAAAAGGTGAAATACAAACGCTTAGTTGTTTAATGAATAGAAGCTCACCGCTCAACAAATGAAACGAATCACTCAATAGAGCCAAACTGCCAGAGATCCAACCACCAACTAGCTCCAGGACAAAAAATGTTGTTGATATTACTATAGCGATCCTTAATTTTCTTGCATATTTTTTTGAAGACGTATTAGAATGAAATTCATTATCTTCTTCAATGTTTATCGGACATTTTCCATTATCAGAATCGATGGGACCGTCAAAAGAAGTATATAACAGTTGGGTAGCTGAAGCCTCCTCAGGATCGTCATGATACGGCTCAAATGGAAGGTCCTGTTGGAACCCATTTACTGGGGTTGAGGAAAACTCACGCGGAGAACTAGCCATAGAAGAAGAATAAGCTGGAGAGCCAGGTGGGATAGGACACACGGAAGTATTATCGCTATAAGATTCCACTTGGTTAATGCTATAAATACCAAGGGAGTCAGGGTTTGTCAGGTGTGGGTTACTGTTTGTAACAAATTCAAAGTCGTCTTCCATTTCCTTAAAAATATCTGACGTAAAATTTCAATTTGAAATTCGATGAAAAATAAGGCCTAGCGTTATACAGCAAAAAGAAGATCAAACCCGCCAAAAATAACGATAACCTTTAAGTCAACGAGCACGTGAAGTTACCAAATAAAAATTTTGGTATCTATGTCAGCCCGCGTTAACGTTACCTCATACGTATAGAGAGTACAAAAAGTTTGTAATACAGTTCTGGTGTAACCAGCAAAAAGCTGCTGCGAACAGGTATGTACGTCGTTTAACTCAACATCGACCCTTATTGTTACTAAGGTTAAAATGAAACATGATTTTTATTTTTATGTTTAGCGATAACTTCTTGTTTAATGATGATTAATAACTAAATGAATTAATACTTTGCTTATATTCGGCCTTGACCCAATTCATGTATTTCATATAATGCATCGCCCGGTTCTGCGTCTTTCTTTGCAAAAATATAAGCCACTAAAATTAAATGTAAATAGATAAATTAAACAATACTTAAAGCGCAAATACATGCCAAAAAAAAATTTTCAATCTTAGAGTTAAAAATGAAAATTTCGATATATCTGATAAAATAATTTAAAATTGCTTACATAAATATGTATGTAAGCACTTATTGCTATGTAATTTACTATAATTATATATGGTTGTTAATTGTTTTAAAGCGCCATCAAAACTCTATTAAAAATTTTTTTTTTATGCGCAGTTAGCACAATTGTGTAAGCATGCCTGATTATAGTATTTGGCGCATGAAATTTCCTAAATTCAACACTTTGATTCAGACACTCCTCTGCCAACAATCTCCTGAATTATTAATAATAAATTCTCCTAGAAATTTATCTCGTTCGAAATAAAATTAGCCCTAGCATATATTCACATGAAATCCCGCACATTTTGAGTTTAATGGATATATGTTTCAGTTTGAAATATTCAGGCTTAAACTCGGTACCGATCTGACATCGCGTAGGGTTAGATGTCGATGAAATAAAGTAGATCCCTTAAACTAGAGATGTTAATCGTTTTTTTGGGTTCGATCCTGAATCTACTCGAATTTTAACGATCCTTAACAATAATATTATATACGGGTTAATACACATAAAAACCATGCTTAGAGTATATAATATATAAAAATATTTTAGCAACTATATTTATTAAAATTGATAAAAATTGTTTGATTTAATTCTATGAAAACATAATGTCAAATAAATTTTATCAAAATAATTTTACTATTTTTAATATAGTATATCTGTCAAAACTAATATATATAGTAGATAGATTTTATATACTATAATACAAAATAATAAAACTTTTATTAACTTTATAAAAGAATTTTAGTTACTATATATCTCTATTTTAGAGTTAGGGTACGGTTTTAAAGTAAGACAAGATATTTTTGCTTAGTATCTCTAATTTAAGTTGGTAAAATATAGCATTTTAGTAATAATAACTACAGTGCTAAACCTATATAGGCGGCCAAATTTTTGATATATGTTGTGAACAGGAGGGAACGTTAATGTTACACGAATGTTTATGTATTGTCTTATTGTAACTGGCCAATCAAATCACAAAATTT